TTTAATTTTATTGAACCATCTTGTGGGCAACTAGAATTTCTTCCTTTGTATAGAGTCCTTAGAGGGGAATTAATAGGTCAAAAGATACGACTGTTTTTAAGTTCCTGGCTACATTTAGAACAAGTGGATACTGACTTATTTTCATATTTCATAAATAGTGATATATCTCATTTTAATTTGTCTCTCTGATTATTAATGAAGTTGTATATTTTTTTCATTTGATTATTTTGAATTATTTGGCCAAGTCTTTTATCATAGTTTGGTAAGACAAGTGTTAATCACGTGTTTATTGATGAAAGAGCTGAAATTCAAATAATATATCAAAACTCATTGAAATAATATGTTCAGACTTATACAACAAATAAGTGGAGTCTGAACACAAACCTATGCTGCCTTCTTTTTTCTTTTTTTTTTTTTTTTTAAAGATTTTTTATTGGGGAATTGGGGGGATGGGAACAGTGCTGGGGAATTGGGGGAAGGGGAACAGACAAGTTGCTGTCGTTTTGTTCTTCAGTCTAGTTGTGGAGGACGTTGCTTCACTGGCCCAAGTTGGCACCATCATTGCGCTCTTCCTGGGTGAGGCAGATCAGTCGCTGGCTTCTGGACGGCCGCTCACTGCGGCTGCTGGCCGCTCACGCTGGCTGCTGGCTACATACGGTAGCCCATGGCAACCCACTGCCACAGGGGCTGCAGCCTACACCGTCGCCAGCGACTCACAGCAGCCCAGCTCCAGGTTGAGCTGTTTTTCAGCATCTTAGCTGTGGAGGGCAGTGTCACTGGCCCTCATATGTGGGATCCGAACCGGGGCCCTCTGGCATTCCAAGCCAGTTCTTAACCATCGCGCCACTCGGCCGGCCCTATGCTGCCTTCTGACACCAAAAATCCTTGGTACTTTCCACTAGGTATTAAATGTCAGAAGCCATTAAAATAGATAGCAATATAACGTCACTTGAATTTGCAAGAATATTTAGTGAATATATCTTACTACCAAACATTAATTTTCACTCATACTGTGTATATCAGATAGATTACCATGATCTAATCAAAACAGCATCACTACTACCCCTTAAAAGGCCAATTTTAGGGCCGGCTGAGTGGCTCAGTTGGTTAAGAGCTCGCTCAAGAGTTTCAGCTCTGAGCAACAGCAGTTTGATTCCCGGCCTGAGCTGGTGGCAGCATGGTTCAGCTTTTAAAAAAAAAAAAAAGGCCAATTTTAAGCATTCATAAAGGGTCAGGATTTTTTTCATGTTTCGGTAAATTACAGTAGATTTCTGGTTTTAAAACTATATAATATGCTCATCATTTTTTTCCATCATGGTTTTGATTCCAAAATACAGTAAAAATGAAATAAATGACTGGAGGAAAGGGGAATTTCTACTTATGAATTACCATAGAACATGATGGGATTAACATTATAGAAAACCCAGAAGAAACTTGGGTATTTTATCAGGTCATTTATCAATCTCCATTGATCCTGTAGAGACATTTTGCAGCAATTTGGCTGTTCCCTACTCTGAGAAGCAGCAGCTCCTAAAAAGTATGGCAGAAAACTGGTATAAGTGGCAAGACTAATTTTTGTTGCAATGTTTAATACTTTTTTTTTTTTAAGGATTTTATTGGGGAATTGGGGGAGGGGAACAGACAAGTTGCTTTCCTTTTGTTCTTCAGTATAGTTGTGGAGGACATCGCTTGACTGGCCCATGTTGATATTATCATTGCGCTCTTCCTGAGTAAGGCAGATCAGTCGCCGGCCACTCACAATAGCTCATGGCAGCCCATTGCAGCAGGGGCTGCAGCCTATGGGGTCGCCAGCGACTCAA